GTCTGCAGTGCTACTGGCAATAGCTGAGTTTAATCGCTCCCCTAAGGCATTATCCATATTAGGTTCAATTCAATATTTTAAAAATTGCTAACATATATTAAGTGGTACTGTATAATTATTTACATGTCCTTTTTCCCCCCTCTACTAGTGAATCAGGATAGCCTTCTCAATTTTTTTTTTCTTTTAAACAAAACACAACTCTTAATCTCCATTCCTACTGTAGGGAAAGAACTCAGCAGTGCATATAGATGCAAAGTCACACCAGAAGAGAATAAAACAGTGTTAAGGTAACCAAATTAGACCCTAGTTGGAGTCCACTCATACTAAGGCCCACATTAGCAAACCAAACCTTAACTAAATTTCTATGCTTGCCTCTCCCAAGAAACGAAGGCCTAGATCAACCAGTCAGCACTTGCCTGCACAACACAAGTTACCTAGCCCAGCTCCAAACTTCCCTTTGCTCCAGTCAGCAAATGCCCAGTATAACTTTCTTGTTCCTGCTCACTTTGGTCTATAGAACTCTCTTGAATTGAATAATTCTTTGAAACTCCTTTCTAACTACTATGCTGGATACTGCTCAATTCATAAATTGCTGAATAAAGCCAATAAGATCCTTAAAATCTACTTGGTTGAATTTTGTTCTTTAACAACAGAAAGCTTAAAAATTAATTCCAAGAAGAAGGACAAATTTCTCCTCCTCTGACTCACAGTGGACTCTGGGAATGCTAGAGAGCACTGAGCAAGTATTGCTTCAACATCTCTCCGATGGAGCTTCCTGAAATTGAAAGAATGCTAAAGACAGTGAGTGTTCTCAAATAAGTTCCTTTTCCTTTAAATTCACATATATCAGGGCACCTGGGTGGCTCAGTCAGTTAAGCATCTGACTTCAGCTCAAGTCATGATCTCATGGTTCCTGGGTTCGAGCCCCGTGTCAGGCTCTGTGCTGACAGCTCAGAGCCTGGAGCCTGCTTCTTATTCTGTGTCTCCCTCTCTCTCTCCCCCTCCACCCCCTTTCAAAAATAAACAAACATTAAATTTTTTTTTAACGAATTCATATATATCAATCCAGAAACCATACTTTTGCCTGGGATTTGGGTAAGATTCCAAACATCTCAAAAATAATTCCCCATACTGAAGGCTCTGCTAAACAAAAAAGCACATAAAAAAATCATATAATAAGCAAAAATTAGAACACAGGAAACATAAATTAACATTACAGTAATGTGAAAAACAAACTAAAAATGAAGTTTTCACAAATAACTGCACTTGTTTTTCTAAGATTATATTGCTGAATGAGTGCAGATCACTCTGATTTGTTCATTTTCCTTTCTGGAAAGACATCCAAAAAGAGTGGAAGAACATTAAAAAATAAGACATTAAAGGTGTGAAAGTGACAGATTAAAAGTCCTTGTTCCCACAGCAACTGCACAAGACACATTTGTACTACATAGGCTACTCCTTAGACAGGCATCAATTTCTTGCCACTTATTATTTCCCGGGAAAACACAAGATAAATACAATAACAAAATCACAACTAAAGTACACACAATTTGAAACCAACATGTCATAGTTGTCTAGGTAATAGCAAATATATTTGCCATGGGAAACTGGCAATAATAGCTTTATATGTATATTATCCTTATTTTGCAGCCCAGTGAAAGTAGCCCTCCCCAATATGATCAAAGTATAGATCAAAGTGTGTTATATGTGATATAACCTAAATAATGTCTTTTTCACAAAATGCTACTATAAGACTTTTTTTTAAAGAAGTGATTCCCTAAATCTCCAGGAAAGACCGAAGTCTCTATGAACAGAAGATTCACAGGTCAAAGGGAAACTCGTTCACTAAATGAAAGGTAGACAACACTAAGAAAACATTGTAACATCAGTTATGGGCAAGAATGAGAAGATTCTGACCAGCCTCTGGTGAAAGTTCTTGGCTTTTGCCAGATAAGCAGACTAGAATTTGAAAGAGAATAAAATGGAAGCTTCTTAAGAGTAGGGATCTCAATCTGGGGCCGAATGCCTAGTGGTTTTCAATAAATACTTGTTAAATGACTGAATATAATTCCCCAAGAAGCCTGAATCTCTGAAAGGCCAGATAGTATATTCTAGACTAAAGGACTTGTGTAAGACTTGACCCTCAAGTTGAACAAAACTAAGCTCTATATTACTCTTTTTACTGCTCTGCTATACATACGCAGTGCCTTCTGAGTCCTCATGCATTTAAGGAATTTCTGTTCATTCTGTAGCCTGACTGAAGAGTGCATAGCTGCTTGACTTATCACATTATCAGACACAAACAGAAACAGGGAGAACCTCAACATGTGCTTTAAGCTCCAAAGAGTTGGCAATAAAAGGTTGATGCTCTCTGTGCCCCTGTATATAATCATAAAGCTTTTCATAAAAAATACATAAGGCCACTTTCTTTAAGAAACACTACTAAAAGCCAAAGCAAAATTTCAAGAATGAAAATGTTGTCATTAGAGAAAAGCAATGAGGCCCATCAGGAATGTTTTTGGCTTCCAATGGTGACATTTGTTTCTGATTATATATATAATATTAAATACTTTCTTCTGGGTTTTTAAAGGCTTTTAAGACAAGAAATAAACCAAATTCATTTTCTTTGTAATTTGTGATATCCAAAGGCATATTTTCTAGTTTCTATAGTCCTGATCCCCCAAAATAGGAAGTAAGTTTTTAAGCCTTTTAAGTTTCCATTTTAATTCCCTCTCTGGGCCTGAAGACATTTTAATAGAAGATCCCAAATAACTCTTATTCTTCTCCATACATAGGCGTATCGTTTTCCATTGACAAATAGCCTGATATTTTATCTATACAACAGTCTATCATTTTCTCAAAGAACAGATAAAAGATATAAAATTTGTTTTTAAATGCTCATCGATTTCCCTTCAACAAAATGGGTAAGGTAGTTTAATATGTGTTTTCTAACACCACCAAGCAATTAACTCAGTTCTGACACTATCTACCTGAAGATAAGATCACAGAGCTCACACCTTAAGAGCTCAGTGCCACAGACTGCCCTCCTTTTGATGCCAACTGCAAGTCCAGGTTGTTACCTGCGCTTCTGACCAGCTGGCTCCAAATTGGAGGTTTCCATGACCCCAACCTCGCTTCAGTTAATTTGCTGCAACAGTTCACAGAACACAGAGGAACTTTTACTAGCTTATTATAAAGGATAATGTAAAGGGTAATATAAAGCATACAGATGGACAGCCAGATGTAGAGGTACCTAGGGCAAGATATATCAGAAAGGGCACTGAGCTTCCATGTTCTCTGTGCGAACCACTCACCTTGCAAATCGAAATCTTTACAAGCTCACAAGCTCTCGGAACCTCTGTCCTTTTGGGCTTCCATGGAGGCTTCTATCTAGACGTGATAGATTAAATCATTGACCATCATTGATTGATTCAACTTCCAACACCTCTCTACCCTCCTCCAGTTCAGGCGGTGGGACTAAAAGTTCTAAGCCTCTAATTACCAGGTCTATTATTGTGGCAACTAGCCCCCCACCCACACTTAACTAGGGGCTTTCCAAAAGTTTTCTCATTAGCATAACAAAAGACACGTTACTGCTCTCCCCACTTAGGAAATTCCAAGGTTTTAGGAGCTTTGTGACCAGATTGGGATGAAAACCAAATACATGGTTGACCCTTGAATGACACAGGTTTGAACTGTGCAGGTCTACTTATCTGTGGATTCTTTATGGTACTATCAGGTATTTTCTCTTCCCTATGATTTTCTTAGTAACATATTCTTTTCTCTAGTGTACTTTATTGTAAGGATACAGCATATAATATGTGTAATGTACAAAATATGCTAATCAACTATTTGTGTTGGCTTCCAGTCAACACGAGGCTATTAGTAATTAAGTTTTGGAGGAGTCACAAGTTATACATGAATTTTTGTGCAGGTCAGTGTCCCTAAGCCCTGCGTCCTTCCAGGGTCAACTGTATTATTTATTATAAATCACAATATCACAGGTAGTAAGGAAAAGATTTATAAATTAGTTGTACCCCCCTTACCATCCACTAAAAGAGACAGACATATTCTTGCCCATTTATAGAAATATACACAAAGGCAGATACACTACCAAATGCTCCCAAGACTCCAACAACCAACAGAGAAACGCTTAACAGAGACAAAGACGCCGACCTTCAGAGAGATACAAGACGGGAGCCAAAAGGAACAAAAGAGGCAGAGAAGTGTGTATTACTTGCACAGGATGCACCGCTACTCAGGACAGGCATGCAGCAGCACAGCCAGGCACAGCCCCAGGGCCACGCAAGAACAGAGGTACCCCTGGAGCGTGACTGTGTGTCACACACACACCCCAACGCACACGTGCTCTCTCCTTCAGAGTCTCTTACATACACACACTTTCTCTCTCACACACTCCTTTCCTAACACTTTCACACACACATACACACCCTGTCACACACATACAATCTCTTCCAATTTCTCTGTTATGTAGTACATAATCACTCTCACACCCTCTAACAGTCTCACACACACAATCTCATACACACACAGACTCTCATCTTACACAATCTCACACACATACATAGTCTGCTAATGTACATAGTCACACACACACACACACACACACACACACACACACACACACACACACACACAGAGTCTTACAAACGCGCGCCAACACGCACACATCCCGTCTTAGGTCGCACACACGCGCGCGCGCGCGCGCGCGCCCCCGCTGGCTCCGCCCCCCGTCGTGGCCCCTCCCCCGGGTGCTCCGCCCCCGGGGCCGGGGCCGGGGCGGGGCGAGGCGAGCCGGTGACAGGAGAGGCCGGGCTGGGCTGGTACTTCTGGCACCCTGGCCGGCGGGGCGCGCTCGGGAGGCTCCTGTCTGTGGCCGCGCGGCCGATCTCAGGGCGGCCCTCGTCTGACGGCCGCTGCCTGGCGTTTCACGTTTGGCCCCTCCGGCGGCCGTCCCGGCGGCGGGAGTTGGCTACGGGATGTGCTCGGCCGGGGAGCTGCTTGGCAGCGGCAGCGGCGGGGAGCGCGACGAGAACGGGGACGCACTGGCGGAGCGGCCGGCGGCGGGGACGGAGAGGGAGCCCGGGGCGAGCCCGCGGCGGCGCGGGCAGCGGCCGCTGGCGGAGCGCGAGCAGGTGAGTGGGGAGGGGTGGCGCGGCCCGGCCGGTTTCCCGAGCCCCACCCGGCGGCGGAGGGAAGTGGGCGGGCGGGCGGCGCCTGTGCTCTGCTCGGCGCGGGGCGCTGGTGGCCGCAGCGTTCAGGAGAGCTTCCCCGAGGAGAGGTTAGACGGCGCGCTCGGGGCCGGACTGCGGGGTCGTGCGCCAGCGGTGTGGCCGGTGCCCTGGGTTCGCGTGCCTGCCGGGGTCAGCGCGGCCCTTCCCCAGCTGTCGGGCAGAGGAGGCTCGGGCTGGCGCCCAGGGCTCTGGGGAAGTACCCTCCATACCGGTCAGTAATCCCAAAGCCCTACATGTAAACACTTTTTTTTTCAACTTCAAGTCCATACCCCCGCGCTGTGCCGTAGGGGACAGCTGGTCCCTTCCTGCCCTCCATCTTGGCATTTCTGAACACACACCTAGCGCCTCTGAAAGGTGTGGGTGTATTTCTCTAGATGTGCAATCAGTGTCTGACGGCATGTGTAGGAGCGAGTATTACAATAGCTATCTTGACGGGGACTCTCCAAGAGCAGGTTCTTCACATGAACACAGATGAGATCTAAACTTCATGCTAAAAGTGAAAAAGCAAGAAAACTGCTTTCAGTTCGTACCAAAGGGAAAGAAGTACTAAGAGTCCAGCTTTCATAAGGGAAAGGAGAAGTTGGGTAATTTTTGAAACTCTCTGAATTTGTTCTCATTAAATGGAGTATGATAATAGGCATTACAACATATCAGATGTCTTCAAGATTAGGCAAGAAATTTAATCAGAGAAGCTGAATTATATGGAGGATAGCTTTTCACCAGCAAAGACAGTAATTAGACCTTCAAAAATAACTGAGATAAGCCAACCTGCGGAATCACGTTAAGGAGCAGGAATTCAGATGATTATTTGCCTTTACTACAGCCTAATTACTGTTGGGACAATCCGTTGATGCCTGTCCCCTCTTGTTATTCTTCTCCATCTGTCCTTTTTGTCACATTTCACAAACTCCAGTGTCATCACCAAATGCATTAATAGATAAAGTATAACTTCTAGTATTTCAACATTGCATTTAGAAAACAGAAATACCGGGGCGCCTGGGTGGCTCAGTCAGTTAAGCGTGGGACATCGGCTCAGGTCACGATCTCACAGTCTGTGAGTTTGAGTCCCGCGTGGGCTCTGTGCTGACAGCTCAGAGGCTGGAGCCTGCTTCAGATTCTGTGTCTCCCTCTCTCTCTGCCCCTGCCCCACTCACGCTCTGTCTGTCTCTCTCAAAAATAAATAAACATTGAAAACATTTAAAAATAAAGAAAACAGAAGTACCAATGTGTGGCACATACAAAATATGCCTTGGCGTTAGTCTTGCTCACCATGTGGAAGTGCAATTTTTCATCCTAATGCCAATATAAGAGATGGCATGGTGACTGAAGCAAATAATTGGTCGCTAGGAGATCTTCCTGATTCCCTTCCTAGTGCCCCCCTCTAACGGTACCATGACTCAGTAGCTAACGGGTTTGGTTTCCTCTTGCTTTAGTTGTTCATCTGGAAAAGTGAAGAAAACAGCAACAGGAACTCCATTGGTGGCGGTGCTAAGGCAGGTACATTTGACTGAGGTTCTCAAAGTAAATTTTCAAATGATTATAAGGGAGCATGTCAAACATTACTTCATTTACACTTCTGTGGATTTCACGTCATCAGTATCTCTGGTCTTACCAAAAATTGCTTATGGTACAAAGAAAAAGGATGAAACAAACAAACAAACAAAAAAAAACCCGAAACATGTAGCCTAGAAAACATGTATCTTACCACTTTGCATACCTGCTTCTGTCATTGCCTGTCATGGAAATTTGCTTTCCTGTACTCCTTTGAAATGTTTGAAAATATTACTATTATTTTTAATGTTTATTTATTTTTGAGACAGTGAGGGAGACAGAGTGTGAGCAGAGAAGAGGCAGAGAGAGCAGGAGACAAAGAATCCGAAGCAGACGCCAGACTCTGAGCTGTCAGCACAAGAGCCCTACATGGGGTGTGAACCCACGAACAGTGAGATCATGACCTGAGCCGAAGTTGAATGCTTAACTGACTGAACCACCCAGGTGCCCCTGGGAATATTATATTTTATTAGATGATATATTTCTGTACTGTAAGCCTACATACCTAGTAATTGAAAATTAACTTGAGATATGCACTTACCCCTATATCAGCACCAAAAAAAAACAACTTCTTATCAAGACACCAAAAATGAATGAAAAATTGGGGCAACACAACCCATTGGTGTAAGAAGCAAGCTTTTGTGATAAATCATTTATTGCTAATATGATTGCCAAGCTTGTTTTCTTTTTTTTTTTTTCTCAAGTCCTGCCGATGAAATTTAAATTTTTATGCATTCCCTTTTAATGATGGTAACCACCAATATAAAAATACCTGAGGGATGGGGCGCCTGGTGGCTCAGTCTGTTAAGCCTCTGACTCTTGATTTCGGCTCAGGTCATGATCTCGTGGTCCATGAGTTCGAGCCCCACATCGGGCTCTGTGCTGGCAGCTCAGAGCCTGGAGCCTGATTCAGATTCTGTGTCTCCCTCTCTCTCTGCCCCTCCCCTGCTCACGTTTTGTCTCTCTTTCTCTCAGAAATAAATAAACTTAAAAAAAAAAAACTTGAGGGAGAGATAAATGATTTCTGTGACTATAAAACATATCCTAAGAAGTTGTTTCATTTAGTTTTTCTTTAGGGGATGGTATGTGTTTGCTATTTTCAGGGCACATGGACTCCAAATTACAAACAGAATTTTTTGAAAATTTGGTTTGTAAACTAGTGATTTGGAATTGAAAATGAATTTTTCCACAGAAACAATGATATGAACAGAAACAAAACCAAAACTAATTAGCTGGAAATGAGGCAGAGGCCACCTTCCTGGTGTCTTTTCTGCTTAGCACACTCACTTGTTGTTCCACGGTCCTAGTCCTATGGCTGTTGAGGGACAGACAATTGGCAGCATCAGTGGCTGTGGCGGCAGCAGTCACCATGGAGGCGCCTTTCTATCTGGATCAAGGCCGTGGTGGTGTGTGTGCTCTTGAACACAGTACCTCCAGAAGGCGCCTGACTTTTGCTCTTTCAGCTCTTTCAGTGAGTTTTTTCAGTCCCTAATTTTTTTGTATGAAATTCCTTCCTGTCTCTATTTTCCTCACAGAGTTTCGCCCTTACTTGATAATTTGATGAAGCAGATTTCTTCCATTAGCTATTCCCCAGGCTAAAGGTTCCTCCACATGCATCCTTTCCTTCACTTATTTTTCTTTCCACTTCTGGCTGAAAGGCTCATGCCCTTCCCTCAGTTGGAAGGCTCTTGTAGCACCTTTAACCATACAAATCCTATCTTTGGCTCATCCTGTGATACCAGCTCAGAATGTTATCTATATCTTGGCACTATTACATGTAATACTGAAATACTGGTATTAATATAGATATTTTCCTAATAACTAAGATATTGTCCCAGCATTTTTTTTTTTTTTTTTTTTTTTTTTTTTTTTTTTTTACTATTTGTCCTTAAATGCCGCTTTACCTGAGAGGAAACTAAGTTTCCTCTGTCCTTCTGGCCTGAGTCTCTCCAGGTAGGATGATTGACAAAGGAGGCCTCCACTGGAAAGAATAAAACGAGTCCTTTAGATGAAGCAACTGTGTCAAGCTTGAAGTAGGAGTCAGGCATCTAAGAGATAAGCAAGGGAGAGAGGCAAAATGCCCGAGGGGCTAAAGGGACATGGTGTAACTATCCCACGTGTGTTCATTTTGCGCACGAAAGATGATTCAAGTATGTTAATGACTGTGAACGTCAGGTGGCTTTTTATAAGAGAGTCTCTGATCTGCTGCATAGCTGAAAGGCTGAACATCTCCAGTCCTTTTATTAGATGCTTACAGCGTGAATAGCATCTGCTTTCAGAAGTGGCAGTTCACAACCTGAATAACCTAAGATGGCCCTGCTTACCTCCTAGAGCATAGAGATCCCATTATCCTCCAACTGACTTTAGAAACATTATCTTTAGCTCTAAGATCTTTCTTTATGATTGTGAAAGTAATGTACTCTGGGAAATGTAGGAATATAAAAAAAAAATCTAAGGAAGAAGACAAAAACATTTAACATCCCAGTCCGAGTAACATTTTGTTAAAAAATATCAAACACTAAAAAAAAATATATCTCAAACATTTGGTATTAGTACATTTACCTCTCTCTTTTTCTCTCACGTATTACCATACTCGTATATATACACACACATATATTTTTAGCATGTTTTAGTGTAATTGAATTTGCTTTCTTGTTTCAACAATTTAGCATGCTGTGTAATTTTCCCATGTTATCAAAAATTATTTGTAAAAACTATTTTTAGGGCTGTCTAAGAGTCCACTTCTCAACTACTGTGCTTTTAAGTTGTTTTAAACTTTCTTCTATAAAAATGCTGCAATGAAAATCTTTGCTTGTAAATCTTCAACATTCTAACGTGCAATAGATTCCTAGAAATGGAAGAAGTAGGTCAGTGAGTCAAACTCTTTGAAGCTTCTTGTAACATTCTAAAAGGTTGCATTCAAGAAAGGTCACACCAATGTACACTTCCAGTATTGGTGTGTGAGAGCACTGATTGGAAACCATCCATGCCTGTAATGAATAGTATAATTTATGGATTAATCTTTGCCAAGTCAGTAGGCCAAAATTATCTTATGTTGTAAGATCTTGCTAGAGAGGTTTACTAAACCTTTCATATATTTATTGAGTAGTTTTATTTCTTTTTAATCACGTTCTTTGAACTTTTTTGACACTATTATAAGGTATTAATCTCTTATTTCACATTGATTATAAATATTTTCTCTGTTTACAATTTACTTTATAATTTTGTTTATGATTTTTTTGATTTAGAAATGCTTTAAATTTTTATTAGCTAAAGGAATTTATTTTAGTAATTTCATAGACATCAATCACACATACATACACACACACACACACACACATAATATATAC